GGTGAATCGGACGAGAGCGTCGTCAGAAGATCGAGATAACGCGGAGAGCCGGAGAGCACACGGAGAGGAGCCCGAAGAGGAAGCAAGACGGGAGTAGGAGGGTGGGGCGGGCGGGAGGGAGGGAGGGAGGGTGAGACGCGGACGACACGCAGAGAGGCGTCGGGTCAACGTGCCAGGTAGCAACGCCTCAGGACAGCCGTCGACGGTCCCTTCGTCGCCGTCCACGTCCTCGCGCCGGTCTCGTCTCTCAGCGGCGGGCTGGCATCGTGGTTCCTTGTCTCCTAGAGAGCGCGGACTGCCGCCGGCGACTCCGGGGAATGACAACCATGGGGTCCTTCCACGCCGTCTCCGCGAGCTTCGTCCTCCTCGCGGCCACGATCGTCTTGCTGCCCGTCACGCATCGCGCGCCGTTTGCATACGCCGCGTAAGTCAATTGTGCTTGCATGCTTATTTACATAGATTTATAGACGAAAAGCGAGAGGCGATGGAATTCATCTCTCTTCATTGGCATGCGATTTTTTTAAACAAGTTAAAATTGCTTAGAATGTCGTGAAAATGATATGTTAGAAGTCGCTGCAATTTCGCCAGTAGCTCGTCTTTAACGTATCACGCGTACCGTATCTGTGATATTAGGAAATCGGATTTCGCAAGAGACGTCGCGGCAGCGCGTTGTTGACGTCTCGTTCGATTCGCAAAGCGTTATCTCCGGCTTAACCTCTCTTCGGGAAATATTCGACGCATGTGGGAGTAAAATAATTAATGTGGGTGTATCAAAAGCTTCAAAGAAGTAGAAGTTTATATCTATCAGAAACACTCGCTGAGACGACCAAGAGGATGCAAAGATATTAAATATCAGAAAAATTAACATTTCCTATTTATATTCTTTTCGATTTAAAGAAAATATTGATGAGACATTTTGCTGCAAGCGTAAAAATGCATTTTATGTCATTTGATCAATGCCTAACTTATTTGTGGAGCATTGTATTCGTACGTTCTCGCGAAATATCGCATTGAAGCACGCCAAGTATTCTTCACATATTGCTCTATCAAAAGTTATCATCAGCATGATAAAAGACTTGAGAATATTTCCTTCTATAATCCCTATATTTTGTTACGTATAAAAAAAAAATTATATATTTCTTCCACGGTGACTAAAAAATATTCTCTCGCAAAACACAAATCGACGCCCTTCTATTTTGATGTTGAAAAAATATTACGTCGGGCAAATAGTGACGAATGGCATCCTTATTACGATACGCGTCATTCATTATGCCACTTCGACGAGAATAACAAAGTTTTATTACGCGATCATGTCTGACGTCAATCTGCCCGCTGCCTACTATCAAGTGCAAACAAGATAGGTTTAGCCTTTGAGACATAACGGGCGCCACACAATGAGAGCGGCGCGTAGCTCTCGCCGCCGTCTGGATGCACCTTCGTGATTGCATGTAAATGAGCGGATACATGCAACCGCGCTGCATGCCCAGGCGTATGTCTCATCACCACCACGCGCGCAAGCTCTTTCCATGATCACAATGACACCATCCCTCGTGTCTCCAAGGCGACGATAAGGAAGCTCCTCGCATTTTAATAAGCGTAACACATCTTGCGCTGTGCTAACATTAGTCGCCTTAATGTGCAGGCTATTTTTTAGATCGATAGTTGATCAATGAGTTCAATGTAGTGAGCTGTAACTCTTACTACTTTAGTTAAATGTGAATACCGCAGTTACTATAACAATATTATTTGACTTCAGTAGATGAATGGTTCGAATTTATGCTAGTAAATTGAAAAAAAAAAAACTTAAATCGTTAAGTAATTATATACATAATATTATAATAACACCAAGCTAAGTAACTAAAATAAAAATTAACTAAAAGACAACTTACGTACTGTTTTTCTGTAGAAATTAGTATATTAGTTAAGAATTGAATATATAGCAACACGATTAAATTGATTAAAATATCCTGCATTCCATTTATTAATAACTTTTTCAAGCGTTTTAACTTTTGCGGCAATTAGTGGAAATATTTGAAGCACGTAGAAGACTTATCATCGATTAAAAACAGTCATACTACACGCGACAAGCAGAAACGAAACGATAAAAACTAGAGAGTAGAAAAAATAGAAGCAGACGCGACCAACGGTAACAAAGCGCAAACAATGTCGACGCTTGAATTGGCTACACTCGCTCATCCGTTGATCGCGATTCACCAGTGGCACGTATTAATAATCCGCAAATGTAGCCGGCAAAGGTTTCTGCAGCACGAGCCAGCGCTATCGATCACTTTGCACGAAACATTCGACGCGTTGTACTCGCGCCCGACGGCTGCGTACACTCGGACTCTTTCCCTGGCCGCTGCAATAACGTTCCTTCACTACTATAATGCGATCAAGCGTAGTCGTGTTTTCCAAACATCAACGTCCTCAACATCGAAACGTAAATACAACATATTATCGCGTGTGACATTTTCAGTAGAAAATCCTTTTAAAGATATAAAGTGAATTAACATTACTTTTACAGTCTCTGCAAAAATAATAACGCGCACATTCTATTTGAACTTATCCTGAATATTTTTCTGAATTTTTCGACAAATTTTAAATAGAATTTTTATTCTATGGAATAAAGATCCGCTGCTTTATAATAATCCATCTGTCATGTATTAAATTGAATTGTCATATCGTGGATATACTTTTCTGAATGAAAACTACACTTAATGTAATAACAAGTGCCCTCTCATTTACGATGTTACAATAAACAATGTAAGATACAAACAAGTCTCTGCGCCGAGGTCAGACAGTGAAGGCCTCCTACACAATCAGATGCATTTATATTCCAATGTCCACGAATATAGAATCATGAATAATCACGAACGGTAACAGAAACGTAAGTTTAACTTTCATCACTGCAAGAATGTAGAGTACTTATAGTCAATGACATTGGCCAACATCGGTATTTCTCCGCGATTAAATTTGTCTAACAAGGCGCATCGTTCACATATAAGAATCCATTCAATCAATTCTATATTCTCCAGGTGTCCCATATTAAAAATTTCAGACGATCCGTCTCGAGTACGCCAGACGGTATTATCGATCAGAGAGGCGGCCAGTCTCAGAACAGTTTTAATTTGCTGCGCTATTATATTCAACGAAGGTGGTAAACGAGTAGTTACATGTATAGCCGGAGGGATTATCAATATTTACGCTCTTCCGGCGAGCGGAGCCTCGGTCGTTCCACCTGTTTCCTCCTCGAGAGGGCCGCGCTTCTCTCCGGCCTTCTCCAAACGCCGACGAGTACCAACCGCGGAGGCACTGTAGTGTGGTATCGGTGATCGCAGTAGAGCTCTCGAGCAGGAGGGTGCTCCCGACGTGGCGGAGCTCCAAATCCTCCTACGCCGCCACCCGCGCCAAACCCACCGCGGCTAGGATCGTCGCCATCCTCGCCCACTCTTGGATCGGTGGCGCGCACCGGATCCCTTCTCCCTGCCGCGGGAAGAACACCCTTTTTGTTTCACTCGGTCACCCGGACCAAGCTCGATCCGGAATCCCAATTACGTCGCGCCATCTTCATCGAACTTTCCGCCGCTCTTAAGACAGTCTTATTACTTGAAGCTGACTATTCAATAGCAATTATTTTGCAGCGGCAAAAATATGTGATAAAATCAGGTCCATTTTTGTTAATTGTTGAAAATTCGTTAAGAAAAATGCAAATTGTGCTCGATAGATTGTGCGCGAACGAAACTGAAAATGCTGATGGAAAGTCAATAACAATGCGATTCATCATATATTCTTCAACTTTTGCGAAAACATTTGTAATGATAAAAAAGCGTTCATTTTTCTCTTTGTATAAAAGCTTTGTAAAAATACAAAATACGGTTCATATCACACGTAATGTTCACAACTTGAGTTTTAAGCAATTTATTTGAAGAATTTTCCACGTGACTTGAATTTTCAAATTTAGAGCACAGTTTTTCTCCATAATGTGCCAAAAATAGATACATATACATATAAGAGATTCAGAGAAAAAGTGGACCAAGTTCTTTTTTAAATCCACGTATAAATTAGAAAAAACTGAACAGTATTCACTGAATAATTCAAAAGTAAGTGCAAATGTTTAAATTTAAACTAAAAGAATTTATAGCACCTCTAAAAAACAGTGTACATTTTGCACATAATTAGAACAACTGTAACTTTACAACTAATTTTTTAACAATTAACAAAAATGGACTTGATTCCCTCGTATTTTATCATGTTTATTATTATATATTATCTTATTTGACAATAGACATCTTTGTGTTACAATTGTTAGAAATATGTTACAAATTTAATTTCATTTTAATCGATATTCCAGAAAATGCTAAAAATCGCAGTAACATCGAGATAATTAATAGCTATTGTCGAAAATATCTGTCCAAGTATCTCGCCGAGAGCTCTGCTTATCGATCCCTGACATCTCACGTCGGGACGCGACTCTCGTAGACAGGAGGATCTTTTGGCAACTTTCCGGAATTGGAAACATCGCGGATTATCATCCGGTCGAGAATCGTCGTGTTTTCATCGCAAGAGCATCGCCCATCGCGGAAACAAGCAAAACCGCGCCAAATCATTCGACTCTGACTGACCTATTTTCCGTACGAACGCGCGTACCTCTGTAGCAAAACGAATTGTTGTTTTCCCTCGCATATCTACTCTAACCTGAACTTATGCAACCGCATTGGCAACACTGCCATCGGTTGGAAGGATAACAGTGACAGCCGATGCCACCGAGTGTTTTTCCATTACCGCCGTTTGGGCCAGAAAAGATTTATCTTGCTCGCGATCCCACGCGATATCTGGCATCCTATGTTCGCGTAATGGAGCTTTAAATGCATTTCCTCTTTCGAAATGCTACCATACATTCCAATATGAAGCCTGGCAGTAACTGTTAAATTTTCTGCGTTACTGGTTCGATGATTAAGACATCGTGTTGATATTTCCAGCGTGCAATACACGGTTGTCAAACAAAAAATAATCGCAATAATCGCGTCATGAAAAACAAATAGATGGATTCTGCATGAGAATTCTTATACAATGAGCAACGTTGTTATTAACATTGTGTTCCTAATCCAATAATAAAAAAATGGCCCTTATTTTTCACTTGAAAAATACGTATCATATGTCACGTACAGGTGTATTGATACAAATTGATGACGTAGAGAAACATCAATGGTCGCCACGTCCCAATTTCAAAGACAGAGCATATTACGTAAACAATTAGTGACTGGCAGCTGGCATATAAAGGCCGACAGAAATCGAGCACAGCGGAATAGCGAGAGGCGAGCAGAGAGAGAATGACGCTTCGTTCGCAAACAACCAATGCATATTTAATAGTGAACGATTATTAATGCGCGCTTACGCGAGTGATTGATGAAACCATACGGAGTG